CTTATTAATGAAATACGTTTTGAATTATAAATACATTAGAAACTATACTTTTATTGTAAATGCTACATATTGAAACATTGGAAATTTATGGATTTATTATTATTCATGATGAAAAACATTTGTATATACATTTATTAATATAAATCTTATCCATTACATTAGTACTAATAAATATATATTAACAACTTCTAAATCATTGCATCTCTATCTGTATGTGAATATATGACTTATTAGATGTGTATATATATGTATGTATGAATACAAAAATGAAGATTGGGAAAAAGTTTACTTGAAGTTACTTTTAATTCATATAACGATCATGTAATTGGCAGCAACTGTAGTCATCAGTTCTTTGCAAATTATTATGGATATGTAATAATCAGTTGAAAACTAAATGAACAGCATTTGAGTACTAAAGAGTGTATACATTTTGTTATTGGTTTAATTCATAATTATATCATATGTATGATCTACGTAATATAAATATAAACATGACTAATAAATAATGAAGAAATGTAACAGCTGTGCATTTATAAGATTTGATTACATAAAACAGTGCACAACTGATTATCACCTTCATATCTGTTTACATAATGAATTGTGCTTTCCAATTAAGTGCACGGGCCTATTAGTGGCCGAAGCACACTGGTAGTTTGAACACTGGTAGTTGAACACTGGTAGTTTTGTCTCAGGTTAGAATGCCGCGAACGAGCTGGCTACATGGGCGTTTTCTTGGTTTTCCCCATTTGTAACTGGTATACGAGCCGGTTAAAAAAAATCTTCTACAAAGGGATCCCTCCTGTTGTTATCCCTCGAGGCTTTGCGGTAATCACATAAAACAAACTGAGCCCACCAGCGGCAGAGCGGTAAAGTCGCTGAACACTGGTAGTTCGGTCCGAGGTTCGAATCCCGCGAACGGGTTGGCTGCATAAGCGTTTTCATGGTTTTCCCCATGTGTAACGTGTATACAAGACAGTTTCCCCTAGAAAGTCCTCCACAAAGGCATCCCTCCCCTTAGGCAGATAGCCCTAGTGTGCTTTGCTGTAATCTCAATAAACCAAACCATAAAACAAACTCATGATGTGAACACCTAATTTTTAGAGTTGGTATAATAATGTGTTTTAGGTATATTACCGAGTGTTCTCTGGGACAGTAAACAACTCGCACATATTTGATTGCTCATGTATTAATATCAGCCATACAGATTTTTGTCATAGAAGATCTTTTTTTTTTTTTTTTTTTTTTTTTTTTTTTTTTTTTTTTTTTTTTTTTTTTTTTGTCTGTTTGTTTGAATGACAACAGTAATTATGAGCCATAAAGTTAGTCAAAAATGCTTTCACCAAGTCACAAATTTTCCAGTGAGCCATCAAATTTCATTGAAATGGCAGACAACAGAAAATACACATAAGCGATGTGTGATAAATACTTATCCAGCACACGTTTTTTATTCTTAGTGTAATAGAATTTGGCTATTACTGATGTAATTGACTGCTATAACCAGAAGTGTGTTTATATCTGTTACATGAAGTGCTAGAGTGGATATCAAAGTGATTAACTTGATAGCAATCACCTTTCTATTATCTTCCATTACTAACAATAAAGTTTAAAACGAAAAGCGTGTGAGCGATACAAAATACAACACGGAAGAAGCGAATGTCGTCACATGAAAGGAAACGTCACTTTTGCCAATCTGAGCGATAACTGATTCTTGTTTGGCTTTCAGCCTGTTTAACAAGTGAAGATGGTACCCTATTTCGCCAACGGCTGTTTCTCAGAACTGTTGCTGCAAACGTTTTGTCCCGGCAACAAACAGCTAATGTGATAACGCTTTTAGGAAAACGTAAAGCCCTTTATCATCAAAAGTTTCTGAAGCAGAATAAAATACATTCATAAAAATGGTACATTTAATTTAATTATTCAATTGACAACAAAAGTAGTCAGATCAAAAGGAAAACTACAAATTTATAAAAATCATAAAATACTGTATTAATTTATGGAGTAACAAAAAATTCTAAACACATGAAAAATAGTTTAAAAATATGTGTTTTAGAAATATTAAGAAGCAAATGAAATTAAACAGATAAAATGTTGATACTAATTTGGTTTTCTTTACCCTTACTGAAAAGTTGCAAAAAAGCATTTTGAGGAAACATAGTAAGTCAGCAAAATTCTTAATGTAGCAAACCACATCACCCAACAGTATTCATTTTTTTCAACCAATATTAGCATAGCACGTGTCCTGGTGTGAACTCATGAATCTGCATTTCTGAAATCTGACTGCCATTTTTCTGATTAGTGTTCCTTTTTTCATTGAGTATATTTGTTTTTCTTGTGATGTACTATAATGGGACTTTAGATTTTGCCATATGAAAATGAAAGCATTCCATTTTTGCAGAAAAATGGCATTCTATCTAACAATATAGAATGCAAAAATTCACATTCTATGAAGCTATACTTCTCAAATGACAGAATTTTATAGAAATACAATGTGAAAAATTGCAAGCAAAATTTTAGACTGTAGGTTAGAAATTGGTTTGAACATAGCTGTACCTCATTGAGAACAACTATTTGCATTACTTTTTGTTTGTCAATGCATAATGCTGAATTTGTACAATTCTCTGAGCTTCTTCTTCTTCTTCTTCTTTTTTTTTTTTTTTTTTTTTTTGTTTGTTCAGCAAAAACAGATGAGTTTGTTTATGGGAAGAACAGCAGGATAAAAATATTACGGACAGATTTTCTGAAAAAGAACAGATTTGATTTAATACCAATGTTTTTGCTTTTAAAATTTTATTTATTGAATCTTTTATGGAATTTTTAATGCGTCGCTATTGTAAAAATGGTTCCCGCCTTCAGAACATTACCTGGCAAAAAGTTAGGTGAATAATGAGCTTACAAATACTCTCCAAAGACCCAGATGAGTTTGCAACTTTTTGATGTAGATGAAGATAACCAGAAAGCACCAATATGGCAGCATTATGCGATATTATTATAACCTCAATTTCATTGTTTAGGAACCTGTAAAGTATTACACTGTAAAATATGAAAAAAAAAAAAATCTTGGAACTAAAGTACCAATTTAGAGGTACAAATAATACTAGTATAAGTCTTAATAATAATCATTTAATAATTTTACAATTTAATAATTTTACAGTGCCTTATTCGATACACACAAACAAATAAAATTGATAACACACTGCACCCCCCCCAAAAAAAGAGGGGGGGACTGTTCTATATCTCCCGCTCTACTGGGCTGATTGACGAAATTCAAACTGCATTCTTCATGTCTCAAAAGCGAGAAAAAAATTGGCATGTTATTTCAGAAAAAAATCAGATTTTGTGTCAAAATACCTATATTAGAACAAAGCTATATATAAATCTAATATATATCCTAAGTCGCGCTTTTGAGATATGAAAAATGCAATGTGAATTTCGTCAATCGGCCCACTCAGATGGGAGATATAGAACTGTCCCCTCCTTTTTATTTGCACAGCGTACATTTCAAAATCTGAAAATTTATTGTTCCAGCTCTATTATCAACCCATTCAATTCAACTAAGCAGAAACTTTTTTTGATACTGCCAACAGGCATAGCTTTACTAACCCTGAACTTGCTCTAAATAAATGTATTGTCCTGTGAGATAAAATGTATGTTTCTTTAAAATATAAATATGCTTTGATAGTTTTATCTTGCCATCCATTAATGAACAACAGAAAAATACTAATTCATAATTTTTATGATCACATTCTGATCCCCCCTTTTTTTTTTCCTTTATTTTTAAAAAATAGGAAATATCAAAACTACCCAACTCCGATTTTATTTTATTAGCAGCACCTGCTATCATCAAATTAGAATCTATAAAAACATGCAAATCAACTTATAACATGCCTCTAATAAGCTTGGAACATAATGCATTTGTTGCTTTTAATTTCAGACCCATTCTGTAGAAAGCAACTGCAATTCATTTTTAAAAATTTAGCTTTACATTATTCAAAATTTTATTCTTTTTTAAGGTTAGGTTTTGCATCAAAACCAACTTGTCAGTAATGATGATAAAGGTATGAAAATATATTACTTTTTACAAAATTATTCCAATCAAACACAAATGGAGAGAGCACCGTTATTAAGAGAACAGTCAGCAATTCCGCATCTTTACACACAAGTCAACAATTCTACAAGATTATGTTTTTCCTCACTTGATATAAAACTATTTCTGTTGTATTTTTCTGCTCTACTCTTTCATATAATGCCTTGAATTTTGGAAGAAGCGATGTCTACTTTTGTATATAACATTTATAATTAGGTTTTAGAGGTTGAAATTTCACATTCTTGAAACACTGGATGATTATGTCTTGAGTAAAATATGGCTTTTATACATTCATTTTCTTCATGCACCATTATCCTAGCTGGGCACACAATACGTATTTTATCTTTCACATTATCTTCTGTTAGAAAAACACTATTGATTTCATTCTTTGGATAAAAGTGGCATATGTAATAACTATATCTTTTGTTGTTGTTTATTCTGCTTCCAGAATTTTTCCTGAATGAAGTGCAAGTTTTAACTTCTTCTTTATTTAACCAAAGCTCAAATTCTGACATAGATTTAAATGTATGTTCTTTTGATAAAAAGTTCATTTCAAAACCATGTGAATTTGCAAGATGTCCATTAATATTACTAACATGACGGAATTTAGCTGCACAATCAGGTAAAGGACATGGATGATATTTTTCTCTATTTGATTCTTTTCCACATATTTTAATGTGCTTAAATAAACCTGAATAAGTAAAATAATTTTTGTTGCACGTTTTACAAATATATGTAGAAGAATTATTTTTATTACTATCAGAATTATTTTTGTTACTATCATCATCAGATGGAGGTTTACAGTACTTTTTATGATTTGAAAATGATTGTGCGGTAGAATAAGATCTAAAACAGATGTTACATGCTCTAGGATATTTAATTGGATAACGCATAAATACTGAATTTTTTAAACAACCTTTATGACCACCAGGATCCGGCTCCATTGAACACACATCATGAACATCCATACTTGATAGTCATTTGTAATTTTCACTTTTGAGTCTTTAATGATGTTCCAGGCATGTAAAGTCAGTTATGCTGAAACATGAATCAAATTTATTAATCAGTGTTTTAGTGATTAGAAAAAATTAAGACATATTTCAAGGTAAAAGTGTATGCAATAAATTTGATATATAGAAAGAAGATTATCATTAACAGGGGCATACCATGGCTTTTTTATAGAAGGGAACCAGGTCATGAAAAAAATTATAATCCTCTTTATGATGATTGCACATGGAAAGTAATGGTGGTCATCTTAGGTGAAATTCTATATTAGTGTTTATGCTCTCATATACTGGTCGGGTTAGCTGGCAAGACACGGACACTTAGCCGACACAGAGAGTTAGCTGACATGTACCTAATAATTATTGAAAGTTACTATCAATAACAAAATTTCTTGACTTCTCCATAAGTTGAATATAAGTAATTTTTTCACCTCTCAGTAAAATTCCTTAAAGATCCCACATGTGCTTTTGATTCTTGTGTATTTATCATAGTTTGGTGTATATTGGCCAAATTGAAAAGTATTGAAATTTCTCGTCAAGGAATATGAATTCATTTTTGAAAGGAAAAAAGAATTTTTTTAGCTAAGTATGATGGTCACTTAGTTACATTTTAATATAGGATCTGCAAAAATTGTCCGTAAAGTTTTTCATTTAATCAACTGCATTCCTTTGAACAATTTCACATCATTAAGAACTTTTCTTGTTTACTTAATGATATTAATTTTCCAGTCTTGCTCTTCCTAATGCTTTAATATTTCTAATACCTTTGCGTTTCATTACTATTTTACTCAACACATCATGCTATATTCCTTCCCTTATAAAATCGTTTCGCTCCTCTTACTATTGAAATTTCCTTTCTACGTTATGAAAAATTGAATAATGCAATACAAATTATTATTATTCAATTATACTTTCTATAGAAACACTGGCGGTGAAGGGTTAGTTTAGCAAATATATTTGATTTTGTTATTAAAAACAATTAAAAAAGAGAATTTTGAAGACAAGCAGAGCTTTTAAATTATTTGTGACCTCTATAATAGGCATTCACGCCACTATTCTTGAGATAAAAATAAACTCATATAATGTCACGGTAATAGACATCTTTTTGCTCACCTCTGCATTGCTTCCACCTTTAACCGATATGCCATTAAGTAAAACGGTCACTCTATTTCTGTTAGGCCCAGCAGTGGCCAAGCAGTAAAGTCACTCAGCACTGGTAGTTAGGTCAGAATTTCGAATACCGTGAACGGACTGGCAGCACGGGGGTTTTCGTGGTTTTCCCTATGTGTATCGTATACATGAGCCAGTTTTCCTTAGAAATTCCTCCACAAAGGTATCTCTTCCCTTAGGCAGATAGCAATCTGGTTTTACTGCAATTACATAAAGCAAACAAAATCAAATCCGTTACACGACTGCAGGCCAGGAGGCACGAATTCCTGGGACCGAGCCCTATCCCAGATTAATAAATATACCATGCCTAACGTGTAAATAGCATTCTGAGGGTGTAAATAACATTTCAGAAATAAATATAGTTTCCATTGTGGTGTGGCATATGGTAAATTACTCTACTTCCTGAGAAGAAAATGAATTTTATTAGTGAGAGGAGCAAAATGACTTTATATGGGAATGAATGAAGACTGATGTGTTGAGTAAAGTAGTAATGAAATGTGAAAGTATTAGAAATCTGAAAGCATAGGGAAGAGCGAGACTCCTTTTGTCGGCTCAATGTTCTGTTTGCTACGTGTCCGTGTCGGCCAACTGGTGTTGGTTAAGCATCTTGTAGGCTAAGTGGTTGTCGGATAAGTATCCACGACCAATATTGATTATGTTCAGAAGAGGTGTCATTTTAGGGAGGTTGTTCTCATAACAGGATTTATTGTATTTTGAATATGAAGACTAGTGAATACAGTAATGTCAAATATGCTCAGTGCTAAGATAAATTTATCAAAATTTGATCAGGAAGGGAAGTCAAAGTGATCATACCATAATGAATAAATAATTTTTTAATCTGATGAATATCATAAAATGTGAATAGTTAGTTAAAAAAATTTATCTCAGGCCATTATTACTTTCTCGTATGAAGTAAAAAGAAATATTGTAATCACGAAAAGTTTCAGGCAGCATATTTAAACGAAAATATCCATTTTGACCGCTATTGAACGCAATTTAACAATGTTTTTGCGTGACGTCTGTACGTAAGGAAAGAATAAAAAATTCTTTTCCTCAAAAAAAAAAAAAAAAAACTGCTTTAAAATGAATTCTTAAAAGAATTTTTCGTGGTACTTGTACATATGTATTTCGCATAACTCAAAAACGAGTAGCCTTAGAACGTTGAAATTTTGTATATAGGACTGCTATAACATGTAGATGTGCACCTCGTATTTTGGTTACAATCGGCCACACCAAACTTATATAAATATATATATATATATCCACTCTGTTATCCGGCTTTGTTTCTTTACTCTTATATTTTTATAAATTGTGCATTTTTTGCTTTAAAAATTATTGAATTATATTGCTCTTATCTTCCGGTTGAGGTTTTTATGCATTTAGGAAATCTTCAAGCAATATTTGTAGAATTATCAACAATTTAAAAGCTGTTTAAGTGCGGTTAAGCTTAATTTTTAAATAACATGGCGGACATGTTTGTTTATATTTGAAACAGCAGAATAGTAGATTTGATGCCAATCTAGAGAGACTAAGCTTCACAACAACAAAGATAATGCCTCCCTTTATTATTGTGAATTAAATCATGCTTAATCCTTTCTGGAATTTTTTTAAAGAAATAAGTGTTTAAAATTTACTTCATAATTTTTAATATAGATATTTAGAGTTTTTATGAATTTTTGTATGTATGTAAAAATTTTTTGCACCTTCTTCCAGTATCTAACCGCATATATTTAAGAGCAGTGTGGCATGGCAGACTTTAAACAGTAGCATGCAAAGACCTATTGAAAAATTGAAAAAACAATAATGCCATCCTTGGGAACTTAGTCAAAACCTATAAAACTCCTACTCATACATTACTAAATACAACAGTGGCACTGCTTGACACCAGTACAATGATGTGCTATGGGATGAGCCCAGAGGTTTAAATTGCCTTGCTTTGGCACCACTGTGTCTTGCAAGGGTGTCCACTCTTAAAAGCGAAGTGACACTCTGGCTGTCTGGCTCAGTTGATTTTAAACTGCTGAGCAAGACATTAAGCTTTTTTTTAAACTGTTTTTATATTCTGGTATCAAGCATCTTAGTTTAAAGAAAAATATTTTTAGCTTTTTTTTTAAACTGTTTTTATATTCTGGTATCAAGCATCTTAGTTTAAAGAAAAATATTTTTACAATGTCCATGAGTAAATTCTGAAATTAAAATACGAAAAGGATATTGCAACTCATGATATTAAAAACATTTTTGGAATGTCTGAGAAGAACATTTTTGTTTACACATTAAAATACGTTCAAGCCTGTTTTGATATGTGGAATTTGTGTAGCTGTGCCAAGCGGGAGCGACAATTCAAACAACAGCATAGGGATTTCAACAGCAAATATCCTGTTAGGTCACATTCATGAAAGTCCTAGCTCCGGGTCACCCTCCACTGAAGTGGTTGGTTCCAGAACACCAGGTCTGTCCTCATTGGACTGCCTGTTAAGCTTCGAGTCTAATCCCAAGCCATGTTGGTTCTGATCGCCAATGTTAGACTTTCACTCATGGGAAGATGTTTGGCTCCGGGTCTCCTCCCATTACTGGTCGGTTCCAGATTACCAGTCATACAACCTCATGCCTGAAGGTTCAAGTCAAGCTCCGGGTCACCCCTTGCCAGCGATTGGTTCCAGATCACTCAACTATTCCTTCCATTAAGACAGTCACAGTTACTCCTGCCCTTTACCCGCGCTTGTATGAATTTCTTCACTTTGACATTCAGAGCACTGGGAAGAAATCACATTGCGTCAGCACCGGTCACCGGCCATCGCAATGCTTTGTTTTAATTAGACAGTTGGATTCCATTAGTCCATACCAGTTCTGAGTCGGCTGTTAGTTGCCCGCCAAAACGGTCACTCCGAGCTTTGTGCCTGGTGCACCGTGCCACGCAATTGAGGCGTTCCACGGGAAGGCCCATGCGCTCTCCCTTCCAGGAACAAATGCAGCAACCGAACGTGTTTCTTCTAGTATCAATAAAATATGGACAATTGGAAAAATGCAGTTGAACATTAAAACTTTAAAATCTGTATTAAGTGTGAAATATAATTTGATGATTTAATGTGAGAAATTTCACGACATTTCAATACATGATCCGAATCTATTGCAAAGTATTCACTCGTAATAAAAATATAACCGTGGAAGAAAATCATAATTTTTTTTATAAAATTTTAAATTAAAAAGCATAATACAGTCAAAAGTCGTTAATTCGGACTCATCAGGACTTCGGCGATTCCGGATTACAGATCATCAGTTTAAATCTGGTAAGATGGCATGCAGAAATTATAAAATTAAAAATATGAAACCGTAATTTATGAAATAAAGAACAATTATAATCTAAAGGGTATCAAAATTTTAAAAAAAATGCTTAATATTTATTTGTTTACTTTATTAAACATTTCTTTCAACGTAAGTTGTTTAAGTTGCTTCGTTTTTTATGTGATAATACATTCTCTTTAATTCTACAAACAGACATAATTTCTTGTTCAGTTACAAAGTTCCGCTGTTCAAGTTCTATAATTGCTGTGTCGAGAATACCGACTAATTTGTCAATTGAAATTTTTTCGTTTTCAATAACCTCTGTCACTTTCTTCGCTATCGGAAGTGAATTATAATGACGAGGAATTTGGGTTGATCTTTACAATATGGTAACTGGTAGTTTGGCGACATTTTGGAGGCGATAAAGGTTACTACCTGGGACTTTGGTAATAATGTGAGCAGTGCTCAGTTCCGATTACGCATTATTTTGTGTGAGGGAAATGAGAGATCATGGGATATGTCATGTGATATTAATGGACGAATTACGGTTCTTTAATCGGAAAAGGGGTAAAATCGGGAAAAAATCTGGAAATTTTGTATTTGGCTTTATTCTGTGTTGTGTGAAACAGTGTTCGTGAATTTTTGGATCCCATGGCCGTAACTAAAGTGAATTCGAAATGGGTATTTATGTATGTATTAATTTAATGAATGTGCTCATTTATATTTTAAGTAGTGTTTTTGAATTTAATTATATTTTAATTAAATGATAGTTATTTTGTGAATTTTATGTTTGTAGGAATTTGGTATACGTTTTAGTTGAAGTAAACGTGCATGGAAATAATTTAAATATCTGACACTAAGTATTTGTAATGGTTGCGGTATAAATTCGTTGGTGACGTGTATAATGTAATAGATGATTTAGAGGTAAAAGTTTTTTTGGATATTTTATTTATTTTATATGTGGAAATGTTCATATTTGGAAAGGGTAAATACTTTTCGCGATCAGGTAATTTCATATATGTTCTTTTTACCGGGTTTAAAGATTGAGAAAATTGTCATGTATTTTCGTGAAATTTTTTCTAATTTATGAGAAAAAAAGCAGTGTACATGGATATAGTGAAGAGTGTGCGCAATGCAATTTTTGTGCAATTCTGGGATGTTTTTTTAAGTAAAAATAAGTCGGCGTGTACATGGTTTATGTGTATGTGTTATTTTGAAAAACGCGTAAGGAGTATGGTATTGTGCACTTTTTCCCAAATTTGCAGTGAATATTTGTCATGATTAAGCAGTTTTGTTAGATAAAATTTCTAGGATAAGTGTAATTCGGCTAGTAGATTGTTGGAAGAAGTGTTCAGTAGATAAAAAGAAAAGAAACATGTCTTTACTTCATGAAGACAAAATGGCGGCGGGAAAAAAAAATAGAGGGTTGCTGTAGGACAGTTGGTCGCCAAATTTTCGCCAAAAAAAACGCCAAGTTACCATAATGTAAAGATCAACCGGAATTTGATTTAAATCATATCAAAGACAGAGTACATCGAGATTAAATACTACATTTAGTAATGAATTATAAGCGAAATAAAATAAAAACATCTGCCCTGAAGATAAGGATAGTGCTGACAGATCAACTTCCAATGCATTGCGCGCCGCGGCATCCTCCCTCCCCCCGCCGCATAGCAGCGTGAAATTGATAAACAGATTTCGGAATGGTTAGATAAACAAAGGATATGCCTTTATTAATTTTTTGCAGCAATTCCACTTTTTGTTTAATGGACTTCGAAACATACTTTCGCTTTGTAGATCCTTTACATATTAGTAAATATATATCAGAAATTCTATTTGACATAATCGAAAGTTCAAGCTTACTTTTATAAAATTGCTCTAACAGTCTGCAAAAAAATAATAAGCCGGATCCAATTCGAAGATTAAGGAACAACGCAATCTGCAATATTAACTGAATTAGATAATTTTAGTTTAGCTTATATTGTTCGTTACAAATTAAACGCGCATTCGTAAACGTATTTTGCGCATGCGCACACGCATATTCGCAGCCGTAAAGTCTTATGCACATGTGTCAACGCGATGCATGCGCAGAGTTTGTAGCTTTGAGGTCTGGATTATAGATCATTCCGGATTATGGGTGTCCGAATTACAACTTTTGACTGTATTCAAATTGTAGTTTTTACAAGTATTTTTTTAGTTACCAAAAGCTAATATTATATATACCAAATATATTTTTGTATATTTATAGACAAATACATGAATGTATACAATAAAATATATTTTTTTTGAATTGTTAGTCTACTTTCATAATTAAATTACAATTGCCATTTCATTCCATTTGTCCTGCTTTGTCTCAATGAAAATGTGATAACTTAGTTTAATCCTAGTATCCGGTGCACACGGGATTTGGCGACTTTATGATGAGCAGTAAAAACGGGACATAAACGATGAGTAGTAAACGGGTCATTCAAAGAATATATATAGTATATATTATGTATTTGGCTCTAGTGTACAATTGGGTGCCCCTTCGATTAGCGACAATTTTTTGTAAAATTTTGGCGATGAAATTGTATTTCTGGTTACCATGATAGTGTAACTTTGCTTTAGCATCCTGATTTTTTAAAAATAAAAATAGATTGATGTGTACATGGACAAATTTAAACAGTGTGCAATGCCTAGTTTGTGCAATTCTGGGATGTTTTTTTAAATGCAAAAACAGATCGATGTGTACATGGACACACAGTTTATGCAATTCTTTGACTTTTTATTTTGGTTTTGTGTAGCGGCCATCTTGAAATTGTGTCTTCCTGACGCCGATCTTGCCGTCAAAAAAGAATCTCCAAAAAACAAGGGGCACCCAATCGTAAACTTTTACCATGTATTTACACACACAGTGTATAGTATATAGACATTCTTTGGATCATTTTTGGTGTTGGCGATAATTTTCAAAATCGCGCCAAGGCTGCACCGTATACTAGGATTTTACCGATAACTTTATACATGTACTGTTTGTATAGCATTTACAAATAGCTGTGGTTTCAGATATCTGTTATATATAAAAAGACACCAACATTAAAACTAATAAAGTATCACCTCACTAAATCTAGTAATGCAAAGTTTACTGAACATAACACTGCTTATACACCTGAATGTATGGGATTACGACATTTTATCTTTATTTTCAAAAGACGACACAGAAAACACGGTACCTACATTATCTAACACAACGTAACTTCACATGGGATGATAGATATGAAAACGATTTTTTTCCCAAACATGTGTGAACACAGAAACAAAGGGGTTCTGTAACCTGACCATGTGTTAACACTGGGATTAATCTCAGCTAACAGGTTCCATATGTTGACTAGCTCTGCTAATGAGCAGTTCAGATTTTCAACAGGAGGAAAACTTTTTTTTTTTTTTTTTGACACGGTGGAGCAGTGTCAACTGTGCTAGATGTCTACTTAAATCAGATAAACCTTAGCATAAATGGCCCTTAAAATGTTTCAATCTTCTTATGTTGTAATGCATGCAGCAGTTCACAAGAAGATGGCAGCCAGCAGGTCTGAGTTACTATATTCCATGATATTATGACCTATTCTTATTTGATGCATATTTAAAAACCTAAATGTCATTATTTTAGGTTAAAATAACACACCACATAATGATTATTGGAGGAGTCAAACAAGAATCAGTGCAAGAGTTGTAAATTTTGCAGCAAATTTATAAATGATTTATAATGATTTGATTCTTATTGTTTGACTCCTCCAATAAACTAAATGGCATTAACTGTAATATAGTGACATGACTGCATTAAACAGAAAAAGGATGAAAATCTAAAATGACAATGCAAATACAAAGAGAAGCTGAAGCAAAATAAAAAATAACCATTAAACACATTAAATTTGAAAAATTAAAGAAACAGACAATGAAAAAAAAAAGGAAAATTTAATAAAACAACCTTTAAAAATATTTTAAATTTTAACACACTAATTAGGGTAAAATCCTAGTATACGGTGCAGCCTTGGCGCGATTTTGAAAATTATCGCCAACACCAAAAATGATCCAAAGAACGTCTATGTATATAGACTATACACTATGTGTGTATATACATAGTATATACACTATATACATAGTATATACTATGTATAACTATATATATTCTTTGAATGACCGGTTTACTACTCATCGTATATGTCCCGTTTTTACTGCTCATCATAAAGTCCAACAACAAATAAAACGATAAGAAATAAAACCTAAACACTTCTAAAAATATGAACAATTTGAAGAATTTTGGATTTGAATTATCATAAGGTAAGAAAAAAGAAAAGCCAAGAGACGAAATGAATAAATTTAAATATATATATAAATCAAAGGGCTACACAATCAAAACTAAATAAAAATGTAAAAAACACACTAAAATATTTCTGAAAATAACCTAAATATAAAACAGACAGGGTTCATGTAATCATAAAAGTAAAAACATAGGGGACTCTAATTCTTAAAAAACTCGCCAAGTAATGGGCGATTCTGCACTCTATTAACAAATTTATAAATGATCACTTATTACCAAACTCTGATGAACAAATGAAAATACAATCAGCTGTTCTTCCATTTGAAACACGGTATTAAACACAGTTCTAACATGCGGCGCCACAGAAAACTGGCAACACTTAACACTCTGAATAGCGCCATGTTTCCTTTCGGAACAATGAGGCAAGCTACCATATTTTATTCAATATCGCCTAAAAATTGTCGCCAAGTATCGCATAGCTGTCGCAAGGGAGATAACAACCCAGATATTTGACAAAATAAATACTAAAAAGTTGCTGCACTAGAATATCAAAAGTAATCGAAGTGTAGGGTTCATTCACATTTTCTCATTGGAAGAATTACTAATGCAAATTTGGCTGAGCAACATGACAATTGTTGGATTTAGCAACAATGGTTGCCATAAGTGGATGCCGAATGGATACAGTTTTTTGTTTCCAATCGTACTTTCGCACAAAACCAGCAAAACTCTTTGCTAACTTTTGCACATAACAATTAAATGGTAAGTAATGTCAAATTTGGCGTTGTTTGAATTAATTGGTTACCTATTCCTGCGCGTGAGTTGGGTCGTCGAAACTGCCATATGAATACAAAATTCATTTTGTAAATTTAGATTCTATTTTTTATTTTTTGTACGGATATTGCTTGATATCAAACCATTTAAACTGAAAATCGTATTGACGTGATTATCTCTTCCATTGGGGGCGCTGTGATCACGTACGATGGAGGCAGGATCTTGGAAGAGCTCCTGAATTTTCAAAGGTGTTTTCCAAAAAATCTTCATTTATTTAAGAAAATTTTCGCGAATATCCTCTGCATTGTCTCGTTCTCAACGCCGTGAGTTCTCCTGTACCTGGGGGTCTTGTCTTCCTTGTAATCTTTTGCAGCACTAAGACGGAGCGTTCAGATAAGTAGAACTTCTTTTCTCTAAGCTAAATCAAATATTTGTCACTAAAGTACCTTTAAATTCATTTATTTGTTATGATCATTATTATTATTATGCTCATTTTATTATGTTCTGGCATTAAATACTTAGTAATTTGCATTAAATCATGTGGTTCTTTTTTTGGTTACCATCTCGTAGGGACGCTATCCTTATCAGTAGCCCTTATCAGTAGTGTTAGCACTAACGCTCCTCTAAACCAGGCTGAATCACCAACTTTTCTCTCTTGGCGAGGGAGTGAACGCGCTGCCAATTTTGGCGCGTCTATCGCACACGCTGGCTGAATGTCTGCTGTTTTTTTAAAGATTTATTTTATAGACGCGCGGCATTCAGCGCATATAAACTTTTCGGATAATTTATTAATTCTCGAATAGTATATAGACGTTTTCACTTAAATAAAAATTTCGCGTATATTTTGTAAACATATTCAAAATAACTTATTCTTTAGATGTTTCAGTTTCGTTAGCAGACTAAAATAAATAAGATATGAATAAAAACTTTCAATAGTGTCAAATGGGGAAATAGTTAAAGCGTAGAGTGTGCAAATAAATTTATCTTAATGACATTTTAACAAAAACTTCCATAAAAACACTGTAAATTCATACTAAAAAAATATGTTGTCATTTAAGTCTGAGGTATATGGAAATAATTGTGCAAGATTCTGAAGAAACACTTTCTTTTAAATGTGTGAAATATTTCATAACATATATGGAAGAAGAAAGTACAGCATTCTCTGTTTTTGGATGCTTTTCATCAAATGTCATATAAATACGAACTAGAAACCGTAATAAAAAGTCCTTCCTCTTCAATCAGATCACCTTTGTGTTGCATTGTATTTGTAATACTTCTAAAAAATCCAATTTTTACCTAAATTAAAAAACAGTTATTCCATAAAAGATAATAACTTTGAACGTATATAGAATGAATTTTGTAATTTGAGTTATGTTACAAAATAATTCATAGTTTATATATTTTATACTAATAATTTAGATAAAACCTGTCCAATTTAAGAATGTGTGTTAACCACATTCTTAAATTGTAAAAGGACGACTTAATCAAATGTAATTCATTTCAAAGCATAAAAGAAAGCTTATTTTTTATTTTACACAGCAACAGCATTTTCATGCAGTCAAGTTTTTTTAACTGCTAGTTATTATACATAATACTTAATTTTAAACCCATTCTTATTAGAAAGCATAACTAAGAAACTTCTTTTTAAAGCACCACAGTGATTGCAAAGAAGTCGTTAAATTTACAAAAGTATTGAAGATATATTGAACAGCATTATAACAAGAAAGTACTGTACAAAATATGTAAATTTAGCATAACTTCTTTTTTAGTATTTGCATAGTTTCCTCCAAATGAACCTTAATGGGAAGTTATCTTGCGAAAATTTAAAAGTATTAAAATGGCCTCTATTTAAGATGTAACTGCATTTATAATTATTTTGTAATTGCGAATAGATTATATTATTGCAATTAGATTATGCACTTACAACATAATTGCATAAAGTAATGAAATTAAGAGTTCACAGACACAATGTAATATAATTACAATGCAATTATCTAAATTGTAATTATAGTCACTTATTTAATACCACAATATTATTACAATCACAATGTAATTTAAATTGGGTACTATATTTTGCATACCCTCCCACTCAAAGGAGGTACTGATAAGCCTGGAAGTTATTATCAACAAAAGCCTGTTCAGGACAGTTTGATGACAATTTCCACCGGGCGAAAAGTACATTCTTAAGCCCAGGCAAATCAGGACAATAAAAATCATTTAGTCTTATGATTCACTATATTTTAAACCCTAAATTTGAATTCTGCACCAAATTATTTATTACCTATATTTTAACATATTTTATGAATATTTAGAAGCGATATGGCAAATATCTTCTAAAAATAACTGTAAAATATTTTTGTATTCATTAATTGATTCAGATACAACACTTTTATTATTTAAGTATATCAAAATAACAGTTTCATGTTCCTGAAATACAAAAAATTATGGAAAAGTTAAAGTAATATTCTTAGAAGCATATGATATTAGTCACCAGATGCAAAATTATAGTTAATTTTTTGCCCTAAATACAATTTATTACACAGTAGTCAAATGTGTAACTTAATAACATGTATATAAAAAAATTAATGATAATAAGTTTATCAGAAATGAATTAATTCTGCAAATAAACTTTTCTGCACTTGAAAATTTCTACACCTGAGGGAGGGAGAGATCTAGTAAAATTAGATTTATTATAACTTTAGTTGGACCAAACACCTTCTCTCTCTATATATGCATCACTAAAGAAATAAATAAAATTATCATGCTTAAAAAACAGATATACCCATACCAGTTTTTTTCCCCTTGTTACCCTTTACATTGAGAAATAACAAACACTGAAAAATACTATCCTTGAAATTTTGTTTAAATGAAGAAACACACACCACCACAATCTTTTTATTTAAGCATTACACTTCAAAAACAGATACACATACCAATTTATTTTTCACTAGCCTTTATACTGATAACATGCCATATAAAAATGAAAAGAATTACCCTTGAAATTTAGATAAAATGAAGTAAACACAATGGGAAAAATTTATGCACACGGACATCTTTTTCTATTGCATATTGTCTGACATGATCCACAAGTGCCTAAAAAAAAAAATGTACCCAAAGAAGAAACGCATTTCAATATTAACAAAAAATTGTTTACAGATTAAAATTCATTCATTTCATACCAGTATTATAAAGATCATGCATGAAACAAATCTGCTTTCCCATACTTTTGAGTAAAACTTTTATACTGGAAAATAGACTATATTTCTATATATTAGAAACAAGAAAATACTCATTTGAATGTTCTGCATTCATTTCTAAATCTTTACTCCATTGCCAAATTGTATAATACTGTGATTATAAATAAACTTGCACAATCCTTGCAATTATTGAAGTCAGATTATATATATTTTGTCTCACACTATTCAATTTATTCTATTGACTTCAGATGTCAATGTCAAAATTCTGGAAGTTATTTTAACCAAGAAAAAAGAAACAGTAGTGGGTTCCCGTGCATAAACAACTCATCTAACTTTTTAACAATAGTGATTATAAAATAAAGGAAAAAAATTATATATCATTCCAACGATATTTGCAACTATAGTGTAATGTTACATATATCTTTAGCAAACATTCAGATTTTATCTTGACTTTCCAAATTATTATTTATTTTTTTAATAAATTTCAATATGCTAATGATTTTCATGTTACATTAGTATATAAATTCCACAATTAGCACAGGAAAACAAAATCCGCGCTTTATATTAGAAGAGAAATTTCTTTTCCACATTCAAAACATCTACATTGGCGATGTTTGGCGACTGGTACATTAACCCTAGACTAATTTAATTATAGCTATTATTACAGAAATTAGCAAATACTCAGGTTATTGTACAACAAGAATTTCACTTTACTTGCACATTATAAACATCAGAGAAGATATAAACTCTAAATGAAGGCGTAATTAACATTATACTTACTAAGCAAAGTTCAGCGCCGCTGGACCAGGTTTCCAATTGTCTCTTCGGCAATTATTTACCCATATTTTTCTTCATTTTTAGGAAATTTTACCAATGTATGACTTTTCCGTGAATGATTTGAACAATTAACAGCTGTACATCCGCCCATTTTACACAAAAGAAACACAAAAAATTGTTGCACCGTAACTACACAGCCGCCATTAAATCTCCCACTTGGGAGCGCGAATGCCTGATGATTCAGCCTGGTATATAGGAGCCTTAGTTAGCACTACCCATTGGGGTCCCTTTGAGGAATTTCTCGAGAGGGAAAAACACGATCTCGCGCCTCAATGAATGTATAGAGTTGTAGTTTTTGCTCCTTTAATCTATATTTCCTATCTATTTAAATTAAAAGCATATATTAATACAGTGTGCCTCAAATTGATAAAATAGTACACATATAATAAATTATGACCATTAACTTAATAAATAAATAAAATGCTTATTTTTTAAAAACATTAATTAATATTAAAATAAAAAGAAAACTCCGTAATTTATTTACTTATTTATTTTTGCTGATATGTTCTCGCCTTGTTTTGGATTTATGATTTTATTTGATGGTGTTTTCTGAGTATATAAATATGTTCGAAACCGCAATAGATGATGTTACTTAATTAATGTATAACTTTGCATGATATTATATGTATCTTGATCTTATGTGTCTTCTGTTACTGTGTCTCAAGGTAGAGGCTAATATTGGTTTCCATGTTAAAAAATAAAAGTTGAAATTAAAAAATTTTAGTTTCCCTGTTATAGCAAAAGTTAGCTTCTAAACTTGACTTATACTGTTATGTGACTGGACCCCCAATATTTACTATTTTATTATTAATTTTGCCTCATCTTTACATCTATTCAGCTTAACAAAACACACTCATTACACACACCTGGAAAACTCTATTTAATGTAAATGATAACAACTTTGACTACACTCATAAACACAATCGTGGTTTTTTTTTTCTTTTTTTT